ACATTCTTTATATGTGAAAACTATTAAAGTTGGCAAATAGGAGTTTGTTGAGCTGATAAATGACACCTATTTAATATATATATATATATATTATAAAATTTACCCATGTGAATAAAATTATGTCAGAAATATTTTAATTTATATATAATGGGATAAGCTACAAATGTGATTATAATTGTTTTATACACGATATTATTTGGAGTAATTCAAAAAAGGTATTTAAATTTTTGTAGGGGAAGAAACCCAATTGGAGGAAAAAAGCTATTAGAACGTTGAATTACATTTACGTGCTCGTCTCTCTAATATTTTAAATTTTTATTTTTTAATCATTAAAATATTCTTTAGAATATTGTGGAGTCTTTTGCCATGTGCATGTACTCTCTGAGACTTGGCTTGTACACTTGTGGATTTTTTTATTTTATTTTTAGTTCGAAAATCATCGAGGTGTTGGAGTCTTCAAAGCCCGAGGCGTCCTCCCCGAGGGCGTTTGGCGGGTGAGAAAACGGAAGAATACGGAAGAATGTGAATATAAAATATCCTTTGGCATTTGGCGTGTGAGAAAATGGAAGAAACTTAAGGGGATACAGCTAGCAGTGGCTGATCCTAACCAAACCAACCGCGTAGCGGATAAGGGTGTGCTTGGATTTACGTTTCAAACTTCCTATTCTTCAGGCAGGTTTTGGCTCCAGCGAGAGTTTGTCTGTTTAGTTTTCCTTTTTTTAGATTTTATTTTTTTGAAAATGTTCAAAATATTAAAAACCACTAATAGAAATCTTCCTATTTTCGGAGATAATAATTTTCCAAAAATTTAAAATAATATAAAATTTGTTTGCTCTTTCCTAGATCAGTTTAAGAATATTTCTTTTCTTGTCCCTCTCTTGTAGTCAATTTTACTTAATTTATGGAAGAAATGTAAATAAATAATTGTAATTTTAATTTTTTGATAGAATTTTAATGTTTTCATGTTTCAATACGTTATTTTTTTTTAGAAGAATGTAATATTTCTGCGACAATTTGTACAATGACAGGAAAAATTAAATGTACCTGATTTTAGGTTATTTAATTCGTGTGATGTGATCTAACCATAAATTGCAGGAAATTTCAGGAGTGTTTTGATGTTTGGCTAGGTTAAAAGCTGAATTATTTTGAATTTAAAATGGATAAAATTAGATTTTTATTTATTTTAGATAATTAAAGGTTTTGTCCAATAATTAACGCAAAATGTCTAAAATTAATTTCTTATAATTTCAAGAAATCATTTTATAATAGCAAATTTTTAAAAAAAGTGAGAGAAATTGCACGATAAATGAGAGTAGTGAGTCGTTTGATTTGATGGGATTATTAATCAACTACTAATTCAATTATTTTATTTATTCAATTAAAATAAATTGAATTTTTTATTTATTAGTTTTTTGAAATTGAAACTTTTGGAAATGTTGCTAATCAGGACTCCTTGATTTTTTGTTGGTAGCTCGATTTTTATTTTAATTTATTTTTCCTTTTATTTAAACCTTTTGTTTTCTACTTATAAAAAAATAAAAATTTTTGATTTTATTTAAGATTTTCGTGCCAGAAAGAGTAGAAGGGTGTTTGGATTTTGAAATGATTTTAGAGGTCCTAAAGATTTTTCTTCTTTAAGCTTTTTATTCTCATTTTTTTTAAAGGTTAAAGTAAAGACAGATTGTAAACTAAAAAGTTTGGAAAATGACTTTTTCAAATATTTCAAACACCTTCTAATTGTAAGTCTTATAAGACCGACTTTCCTTTCCTAAAAATTAGTAAGAAAATAGTTATTTTCTCAAGCCAAACGGCCTTAAATATATGCAATCTATATATATATATTTGTGTATATATATAGAGGGCTAACTAAGACTATGCATTTGGGATTAATGCAAATTTCTTTTTCCAAATTATATCTCACAAACAACAATGGCGATTTAGTGTTCACACACTATGTGCGCTAGTTAATGGATTTATGTCAACTGACCAATTGATTTGATGTTTGAAAGGAACTCTCAGCAATGACAAAAATTAGACTGACCGACGAAAGGGGAAGGAAAATTCTTGGCTCTCATTGGTTAATCCAAAATGTTGGGTCAAGCCAAATTTTAGAAGAAAATTTTTTTATTGAGGTTAAATATGGAAATTACTTTTTGTTAGGATGTATTTGGAATTTACATTTATAGAGTAAAAAGAAAGTAAGAAAATGGCAAGATGAGAAATTAAACAGAGTAAAAGTGGTCAAAAGTTTAATTTCTCATTTTGCTTTCTCAAAATAAATTTGTATTTGTTAAAAGATTATTTATTGCTTTGTAGGAGCAATTTCTACTTCTGGATATAATGTTAACTATATAAATATCTAGAAAAGGAAGCGCTCATCTCCTCTGAAATGCATTTCCAATTATTGATGTCCTTAATTGTTAATTAATTACAAGATATAAATCCAAAAAAATACTTTAAGAATATCTTAAATTCAATTTTTATTTTCATATAGTTGAAACACTCGCCATAAATTATTTCGTAAAATTTTCTGAAATTTTCGAACGTAGATAGTGTTTGATTTATTGAATTTTATTATTTTTTATTTTTGATTATACAATAAAACAATTTTTTATGACGTGGGTATTTTAAAAAAATTAATTTTTTGTTTACTTATTCAAAAAAATTCACATGGAAATAGCAAAACTTTTCTGAGTTTTTAATATTTTTATATTAAAAACCCAAAAAAACTAATTTTTGGTATAGCCAAACAATACCTTAAAAATTAAACAGAAAATTAACCAAAAGAAAGAAGAGTTCGTAGGCCTAGGAAAGAGATTCCCTTGCTTTTGTCGTCTAGGAACGAGAGACGTGAGGGCCGGTGCTTTTTCTGAAGCATGACTTCCTTTGCATGACTAAAAATTATTTAAACGTCAGAGGATTCAGTTTTTGCTGTAAATATAATTCCTTTTTTATTTCTTTTAGAAGGAAAAATCAGGGACGTAATTTTCAATTAAAATTAATTTTTGGGTCTTCGTGCAATGAACAGGAAACCGTGTTGGAAGTTTGGCGGTGGTCCACTGACAGTGGAGGGTTCCGAAAGAAACTTTTGGATTCTATGCAAACTAAGGCATGTACTTGGTATTAAATTTTAATGAATTGGTTTAATAATTTTTATAATTATTAAATTAGTATTAAATATTATTTTTAATATTAATTTAATAACAATTAAAAATTTTTAGCAGTAAATTAATATTTAATATAAAATAAATTGAATTAAGAGGTGTTTTATTTTTTGAATTTTTGTATTTTTAATTTTTTGTTATCAAAATATTTTAATTATTATAATACACGATTTGTTTCAGAAAATTATTTTTATTTCATTATTATAAAAATTAGAACATTTTCACAAATTTTTTCATTTGAATTTGTCCTATTTAAATAATTAAAAAAATAAAAATAAAAAGCCTAAAAAATAATAGCACTCGAGTATAAGAAAGCTGGCTGTTTTGAAATTTCTGAATTTTTTTTTAGTTCTTTTAAGTAACTGAAAAAATTGAATTTTTGAGTATCGCCGAGAGGTAGGAAAAGTTAATAAGTAAAATAAAATATAAAAAATCATAACTTTTTTTTTATTTTTTTGGTTATTTTTTCTGATTTGAGAAACTTCCTGCTTCCGCCCGCAGGCGATGACAGCTATCGCACCGCGTAGACACAAGTCTCAAAAAGAACCGGAATCCCCGACCCCCTAAATTCCCGAAAATAACCCTTGCCCTCCCACAATTTCCGCCTTTTCACACTCCCCCCTCGCTCTCCTCTCTCGATGTGTCTCTCTCTAGACGTCAAGCAGCGGCACAAGCTAATTCCAGCTTAGGCCAACAGCGTTGAATCTCTCTCTCTCTCTAAATTACACAGACAAGAGCCTTACAGACACCCAAATGCCCCCAAGTACTGAACAAAATTCTTTATTTTACTCGCATTTTTAGAAGGTAATCGATCGAATCTTTCCTATATAATTAGCCAGCAATTTCACGAAATCAAATCTTCTCTCTGGCTGTACATACCATTATGCATGCTTGCACATATGAATTTAATTTATTTCTGAGTATTTAAGCGATTGTTCTTCGTGGGTGCAGAGCCGGCTTTCTCTTAAAAAGCGGGGGTGTGGTGTCGAGATTGTGGGTTTGTTTGAGGGCGTTTTGTCTACTAATTCGTCTTAGTTGTTTAAGTTTGAAGGCGTCACACCCCCATTTGGTCTCTCTGTTTGAATTGTTAAATAGCACATTTCAGAGAAACAGAGGGATCACGTCATTTATTATAATAATCCCCAAAATGGTTTATTGTATTTATTTAAAGATTTTGAGGACTAGGTCGTATCTCAAGTTTGTCCCTGAAAAAATGCTCTGTGACAGTTGTTACTTCTAGCTCTGTATAAGATATATATGTATATAATTACATTTTTGTTTTATTTTTTGAATGTTTCATACACGACCAGTGAAGCCGCTTCAATTTATATATTTTATTATTACTAAGGATTGACAAACGAGTGAAGGATATGTGTTTGTCATCTATGTACACAATGTCGGAGTCATCTATATAGGAAGAGATCCTCGGGTTCTTGCTCATCTGCTTCTTTGGGTTCTGGTGTCTTCTGTGTCTCTCCAAATCTGGGCCTTGAAAAATGCTCTGTGGTGATCTCCAGAAGAATTGTGTTTTCGTCTTTAGATTGTAGGTACTTTCTATATTTTCGTTCTTGCTTTTGTACTGTGTTTTCCTTTGAGCACATAAACTGAGCGTTTTTGGAAGGGCGAGGAAGTTCTTTAAGAGAGAACTATAGGTGTTTGGCTTTCTGCTTCTGATCTAGCGCAAAATGTGCTTTCATCAAATCGTCTTCTTTTTTCTCATCGATATATCTGTAAGATTTTCCATTTGCACTTGGAATTCCCTATCTACCCTGATAAACTTTTGAAGAGTGGAATATAGGAGTTTAGTGTCTTAATTTAATGTTATTTCTTCTACAGAGATATGCAACTGACATATTTGTCTTTCTTGTCCTTCCTTTCAGAGAATTGTGATACAAACATTACCTTGCACAATTTCAATACAATGTCTTTGAGATCATTCAGAGCTTCGGATGGGCAGCCCGTAAGGGCAGTTCCCATGGCGGTGACCTTTGCAAGGAGGACTTCTTCTGGTAGATATGTCAACTATTCGAGAGAATCCAACGATTTAGATAGTGAAATTGGAAGTACTGAGTTCATGAACTACACGGTTCAAATACCACCGACACCGGATAATCAACCCATGGACCCATCAATTTCTCAAAGGGTTGAAGAGCAATATGTATCCAATTCACTTTTTACAGGTGGCTTTAACAGCGTTACCCGTGCCCATTTGATGGATAAGGTGATTGAGTCCGAGGCAAGCCATCCCCAAATGGCTGGGGCAAAAGGGTCTTGTTGTGCAATCCCAGGCTGTGATGGGAAGGTGATGAGTGATGAGAGAGGGGAAGATATTCTTCCTTGTGAATGTGATTTTAAGATTTGTAGGGATTGCTATGTTGACGCTGTGCGGACTGGAGATGGTATTTGCCCAGGTTGTAAAGAGCCTTACAAGGCCACTGATTTAGATGAGAAGGCTGTGGATAATAATGGGCCGCTCCCTCTGCCGCCCAATACAGGAATGTCTAAAATGGAGAGGAGATTGTCATTGATGAAGTCTACTAAGTCTGTTCTTATGAGGAGCCAAACGGGAGATTTTGATCATAATAGGTGGTTGTTTGAGACCAAGGGGACTTATGGCTATGGAAATGCAATTTGGCCAAAGGAGGGGGACTTTGGGAATGAGAAAAGTGATGGGGCTGGTGGAGAGCCTTCAGAACTTCTTAACAAGCCTTGGAGACCCCTGACTCGCAAACTGAAGATTCCTGCTGCAGTTATAAGCCCATATCGGTATAATCACTTTCTCCAATTGATTGATTTTTGCTAATTGTTGTCCTGTCTCTATTTTGTTTATTGATGCAAAATCAGATATATTCAACTTCATGGTGATAGGTTTCTCTCTAATTAGATGGGCTTGGATATGTGTGTGCCATATGGTTTTAATGTCATAACAGAAAATAAAAAATGAGATCTAAAGATCTCAATTGTTGTACATTGAGAAATGATCTAATAAAAAGATGGTTAGTCATTTTGATCCTTAAATTCTCTTGGCTATATTACCGTCATACTTTTTTTTTAATTTTTTTATTTCGGAGGGGGTAATTTATGACTTGGGAAATCCATATAAGCAAGCGAACACTAATTTGCTGATTTTTTATTTTTTATTTTTGTTGGAAGATCAGATGTGTGATCATTTTGTGTTGTGCCATTTATTTATTTATTTATTTTTTTGAATTGTCAATAATTTAGCAGGGTAGATGAGTATACTTGGTTGGGACTTCTCCAAATAAGTCTAATCAACATATGACAGTATAGATGATAGGTGCCCATGGCAAAAACAAGATTTAAATGTGTTGTTTCTAGAAAGCAAATGAATTCTATTATGGGAAACATCTAAAATCAATGTAATTTATCACACATATAGCACTTAACATATTTTATTCAACAAGTTATAATAATATGAATTCTGAAAATAAGTGGTTTCTGTCTAAATTTACTGGTTTTATTTTGTGCAGTTATGTAACATTTCGCTTTTGAGAAGTTTTTACTAAATGACTTTATATTTTTACTTCCTTTTTTCTTTTAATAATTAATCATGATGCCATGTTGGCCATGCTATCTTACTCAACATTTTAGTTCTTATTGAACTATAGATTTGTTTAACTATGCATGACTACTTTAGTAAAGAGTCCATAATGAATTAACTTGCTGTAAGTGATTTCTATTTTATTAATTACTACTCTGTTTTTATGTTTTCATATTGCCCCTTCTAATATGACCCTAATCATAACGAAGACTTTGAAGGTTTCATTCTTTCTTGTTCTAAACACATATCCAAGATTCCATACTGGAATTAGTTTTCTAAACACCATTTTGCTTTCAACTGCATACAGGCTCCTTATCTTTGTGCGAATAGTTGTTCTTGCACTATTTCTTGTATGGAGGATCCGCAACCCCAACAATGATGCACGCTGGCTGTGGTTAATGTCTGTGGTTTGTGAGATTTGGTTTGCCTTCTCATGCTGCTCGACCAGCTTCCCAAGTTCTGTCCTGTCAATCGTGCCACTGATCTTAACATTCTAAAGGAGAAGTTTGAAACTCCTGCGGCCCACAACCCCACTGGCAAGTCTGATCTTCCAGGAATAGACATCTTTGTTTCTACTGCCGATCCAGAGAAAGAGCCTCCTCTTGTCACCGCCAACACCATTTTATCCATCCTAGCAGCTGATTATCCTGTAGAAAAGCTTTCTTGTTATGTTTCTGATGATGGAGGCGCTCTTCTGACGTTTGAAGCCATGGCTGAAGCTGCAAGTTTTGCAAATTTATGGGTCCCATTTTGTCGGAAACATGATATTGAGCCAAGGAACCCTGAAACTTATTTCAATTTGAAGAGAGACCCATACAAGAACAAGGTACGTCCAGACTTTGTCAAGGATCGTAGACGGGTGAAGCGGGAGTATGATGAGTTTAAGGTTCGAATTAATGGCCTTCCTGATTCAATTCGGCGTCGTTCTGATGCCTATAATGCTCGTGAGGAGATTAAGGCTATGAAGCTTCAGCGAGAAAATGGGAATGATGAACCACCAGAACCCATTAAGATCCCTAAGGCTACTTGGATGGCTGATGGAACACATTGGCCTGGCACTTGGGTAGTTTCTGCTCTTGAGCACTCCAGGGGTGACCATGCAGGAATAATTCAGGTAACTTCAGTGTTAAGTTTTCCTTTTGCTCAGGATTTTTATCTATAAATTTGCCCACATTGTCGATCATGGTTGTTCTTAGTGTGCTAGATCTATTCTATGTAGCTCAAGGCGAGATAGTTTAAAAATTTGCCAAGCGACAAAACAAGCCTTTTTTATTCTTAAGAATTTATTCATTTATTACTCTTGCATCAGAATTGTTCTTTAAAGAAAAATGAATTTTTAATGTTATTAGCCTGGGCATTGTATGGGTAAGTTTCTTGTGTATGTTATGGTTTGAAGAACTTCCATTTGTATGTTTTCTGATTTTATCTGATAATGTAACTTCTCAAATTCTGACTTTGATTCTAAATTCTGTTACCGCAGGTGATGTGAAGCCTCCAAGTGATGAACCACTATGTGGCATGTCTGATTCCAGTCAAATTGATCTGACTGAAGTTGATATTCGGCTCCCATTATTGGTTTATGTTTCTCGTGAGAAGCGTCCTGGGTATGATCACAACAAGAAGGCTGGTGCTATGAATGCTTTGGTTCGTGCCTCGGCAATCATGTCCAATGGGCCCTTTATTTTGAACCTTGACTGTGATCACTACATCTACAATTCCCAGGCATTAAGAGAAGGCATGTGCTTTATGATGGACAGAGGCGGTGATCGCATCTGCTATGTTCAGTTCCCCCAGAGGTTTGAAGGAATTGATCCATCTGATCGTTATCCAATCACAACACTGTCTTCTTCGATGTCAACATGCGGGCTCTTGATGGGCTTCAGGGGCCAGTTTATGTTGGAACAGGATGTCTCTTCCGAAGGATTGCTTTGTACGGTTTTAACCCTCCCCGGTCAAAAGAGTATCACTCAGGTTGCTGCAGCTGTTGCTTTGCTCGCCGTAAAAGAATGTCTTCGTCTGCTGTTGCTTCTTCGCCTGAGGAGAACCGGGCACTTCAGATGGGAGATTACGATGACGAGGAAATGAATATTTCCCGGTTCCCTAAGAAGTTTGGAAACTCCTCTTTTCTTATTGATTCTATTCCAGTGGCGGAATTCCAAGGCCGGCCTCTCGCCGATCACCCTGCTGTGCAGAACGGGCGGCCTCCAGGTGCTCTTACTATTCCCCGTGAGCTTCTAGATGCTTCTACTGTCGCTGAAGCCATCAGTGTCATCTCATGCTGGTATGAGGACAAGACTGAATGGGGCTCCCGTGTTGGGTGGATTTATGGGTCAGTCACTGAAGACGTTGTCACAGGGTATAGGATGCACAATAGGGGATGGAAATCGGTTTATTGTGTCACTAAAAGGGATGCTTTTCGTGGGACAGCTCCAATCAATCTCACTGATCGGCTTCACCAAGTTCTCCGGTGGGCTACCGGTTCGGTTGAGATTTTCTTTTCCCGCAACAATGCTCTTCTGGCCAGCTCCAAAATGAAGTTCTTGCAGAGGATTGCATACCTCAATGTGGGTATCTACCCCTTCACCTCCTTATTCCTCATTGTCTATTGCTTCCTCCCAGCACTTTCCTTATTCTCTGGCCAGTTCATTGTGCAATCACTAAATGTAGCCTTCCTCACTTACCTCTTGGTAATCACCTTGACCCTTTGCATGCTGGCCGTGCTTGAGATCAAATGGTCTGGAATTGCTTTGGAAGAATGGTGGAGAAACGAGCAATTCTGGCTAATTGGAGGGACGAGTGCTCATCTAGCCGCTGTGCTTCAGGGTCTACTAAAGGTTATTGCCGGATAGAAATTTCTTTTACTTTGACTTCTAAATCTGCCGGTGATGATCCTGATGATGACTTTGCGGACCTCTACATTATCAAGTGGACGGCCCTGATGATTCCACCAATCACGATCATGATAACCAACTTGATTGCAATAGCCGTTGGGGTTAGCCGGACAATATATGAGACAATACCACAGTGGAGCCGTTTGCTGGGAGGGTGTTCTTCAGCTTTTGGGTCTTGGCTCATCTCTACCCATTCGCAAAAGGACTCATGGGAAGAAGGGGGAGGACTCCAACTATTGTGTTTGTCTGGTCGGGACTTATTGCCATCACAATTTCACTTTTATGGGTCGCCATTGATCCCCATCAGGTAGTAGTGAAATTGGTGGGTCCTTCCAGTTCCGTGATTTCTCTGTTATGATGCGTTCATTGGCTCTGTTATTTTTTAATTTTTGTTCAAATTTGGATGCTTATAGTTGCAGGCGTCATATACACATTCTTTCTTTGTAATTAGAGAAACATTTCGGTAGAAATTGACATTGTTCTGTTTCACAATTTCATCCTTCTTTGTCAACTTCCAGTTGTGTGGCCTTTTTTGCATGCATTTGAGACGTTGATAGTCCCTCTGTAGGACCGTCAATGGGTTGGTTCTGGCTCAGATTTAATGGGTCGATACGCAATAATAATGGATACCTTTCTTTTTCCAATTGAAAACAACTATGAATGTCAACTGATGGGTTTAGGGTAGGTACTACTATATCTATTCTTCTGCTGGACTGGGAAATCTTTCCCATACTTGGCCCATGTATTAATTTTAGTCCTGTATCCTTACTTGTTGGATAGTGTAATACATGTTCCTGTACATGTACTTATATTTGTATATTCTTTTGAATATAATTAATTTTTTTCTTAAAAATAATCTTTCTATGATCTTAAAAAAATGTTTTGATTTATAAAATTAATAATAAGCAAATAAGAAAAAGGAAAGCATGCAGAGAAAAAACTCCCTGTCAATAATCTATCTTTCATTCATATAGTGAAATCATATCTTATAATTTTAATAATAATAATAAGAACATTACGTTGAATTGGAAAGAAAAGAAAAGAAAGAGATAATATAAAGCATGAATACCTAAATGATTAAGGTTTTAATGATGAGAGGGATAATATGGTAAAATTTTATTATTTAAATATAATTTTTTTTATGTGAATATATATAACATATACGAGTGGGTTAATACTGCAATACTTGTCTTCATCTTTATACTAAAAAATACTCGCGAAAAATTTCAAACTCGTCCTATCACCATTTTATATTACATAAATCTTTGTGAGTTATTTGTCAAATATGTATAAAATTGTTACAAAATTGTCATCCTAAAAACTAAGGATGTTCATCGGTTTGGTTTAGTTCAGTTCTGTTTTGAACATTATCCAAACTGAACTAAACATATTAGTTTTGAATTTACTTGGACATAATCATTTTTCTGTGTGCCAAAAAATCAAACCAAACCATATATGATTTAAGGTGGTTTGATTCGATTGATCTGATCAATTTTGCACATGTTTTCTTCAAAACAAAAACAAAAGCACTAAGCAGATGCTAGAGGATAGAAGATCTATGTTGTATCTTTACTACTAATACAAAGATTACATGTGCATATGGAAGGTTGGACTTGTGATAACTCTATAGGGACAAAGACGACACTAAACTACAAGGACTTTTAAGAACATGAATAAGGGTTTGCTAGGCTGGACTTGTGTGAGAAGACAGAGGATCCAAGGTTATCAGAGTCATAGAAGGAAGGCCGTCAGCATCTGTTCACTATAAGAAAATCAAGAATTTTCAGTGCAACATAACCGACGCAAAAATAAGCATTAGTTTTTTGACACTATTTCTCATAATTATCTATTGAAAAACTACTATTGGAGTCTTTGTCACAATTTTCAACACATTTTCTGACGATATTCAATTACTGACACAATTTTACATTGGAAATAATATTTTCAAACATTAAAAAAAAGTAAAAATATTATCAACGTAAAATTACGTCGGTAATATTTTTTAAAATAAAAAAATAAATAAAAAATATCACCAACGTAGAATTGCATTGGTAATATTTTTTAAAAAATAAATTAAAAATATTACTAATGAAATATGCATCAATAATAGTTTTAAAAATAAAAAATGAATAAAAACATTACTGACGCAAATTACGTCAGTAATATTTCAAAAATAATATTCTAGTGAAAAACACCCCTAAAATTTTATTTCCCTCCCATGTATTCCCATGTTTCCCTCCCTTTCTCCCTCCCTTTTTCCCTTATCTCTTTTTTCTGCCAAAACTTTGTCCTTTGACCCAAATCTCTAACCCTTTAAACTTTCTTCCCCTTCAATTCTCTCCCCTTCCCCAAATTTCTGAAACTGATTCGTGTTCTAGACTTGATTGCCGGCCCCAAACTTGAAGAACCCAATTTATGTGAGTACAGGTCATCGCTCTCCATCGTTAGTCACTTTGCATTATCAAGTATTAACTCTTCTTCTCCATTTATGGCGCCGTGACTAGTTCAAATTCCGGAGTCTCTTTGAGCTCTAATAGTCCAACAAAGGAAAGTTGGTTTTGGCCTAATTGGCTCTACGAAAATCAATGGCAGCCTTGTCATAGGCCCTCGCCGCCTCCTTGCCCATCTCGAAGGTCCCCAGTCACACCCACACTACACCCCGTGGAGCTCAAATCTCTGCCACCCACTTCCCCGATAGCCTTTGTCTCACTGCCTTGTACGCACTTTTCTTCTTTCTCTTCCCCTGTCTAGTCCTAATAATAGTTTTTGTTATAATTGAAGAGAATTCGCCCTAGTAATAGTTTCTTTTCCCATGCAGGGAAAAGAGCCCTCTGGACTTTTCCATGTTGGATAGCTATATTCAATAGCTCAAGGGAAGAAGTTCAAGATAAAAGTAAAAAATAAAAAGTATATTTTTCCACGTTCCAAGTTAAAAAACCCATTTAACCTAAATTAGCTCTCTTTTGGGCGTAGCATCGAAGCCAAGAAGCCGAAAAATGAATGCACCCAGTTCAGGGATTATTGCCGTGCTTCCTTTATTAAAATAAATATTATGAAATTAAAATGCCAATTATCATTGAATGAAATAGAATATTAGTATTATATTTTTTAAAAAGAAGAAAACAAGTTGAACCATGTTAAAGGTTCGATCAGAAGCCTGGGGTGAGATGTAATTAATATATATATATATATATATTAATATATTGAGAAAGTTGAGGGGATCTGTTGATTGTGTGGCTACCAAATGTAGGGTGTCGACACGTGGTGTTACACCTTTGCAGGGCTTGTGTGGCCATGTGTCATGTGAAAAGAGCATTTGGAAGAAGCAAAGCAAGGTTAGCTTTTCGGGGGTAACAAGGATCGACGGAGTTGGTACGAGGTGCAGCTTTTGTCTATTTTCAATTTTCCTACGCAATCTTGTGTTAATAAATTTAAAAAAATTAAATAATACAATAAATTTACACCGTTAAATTAAAAAATTAATAATAAAATAAATTAAATGATGTAAATTTGTGTCGATAAATTAAAAAATTAAATAATAAAATCAAGTTTTCTGACACAAAATTGTGTTGATAAATTTTTGCTATTGCGTTGGTAAATCTGCCATTTTGTCAACTAAGGAATAAATTACCAATGCATGTTTTTTGAATTTCTGACCCTTTTGGCGTTGAAAATTTTCGACGCATAAACTTTTTACGTTGATAATTGTTTTTGAGCACTTTTTTTTGCGTTTATAGTTCCATCAGTTTTTGCATCGATAATCCTTATTATTGACATATATCGGTCGCTATCGACACTTTTATTACGTCGGTAATGGACCAATTTCTTGTAGTGGTTGGCTCTACTACGAAGAGTGTTTGTCCATTGCAAATCCAAATCAATGTGCCAAAAAAAATAAAAAAAGGAAGAAGCGAAGAAGAGGAAGGCGATCTGAAGATAGACAATTGAAGGTTGAACTTGTGTGAGAAGATCTGAAGATAGACAATTGAAGAATGAACCTGTGTGAGAAGATTCATTAGCATTAGACATCACTCGTGAAGGAGGCGTCTGCTCTACTGTGCAAATGGAGGGAGAGTGTGCATTAGAGACAGAGAGAGAGAGAAAGAGAGAGAGGAGACAGTTAGGGTTAGAGTTTCTCATTTTCAATATATATATATATATATTAAACTATAAGGTAATTGGTTTGGTTATTTTTGGGATAAAACCGAAAACTAAAACCGAATCAAACTAAATCAAACCAATCAGTTCAAATGTTTCATAAACTGAATTAATGTCACAACTTAAACTTGGGCATGTGATCGACACTAAGGCTGGCACTCCAACCCTAGTAAGCCTCTGATCGGAAACAGAATACAAACTCAGCTAAACCAAATAGCATAATATTGTTAATACATCATAACCTTGTCTGAGAAATAAACTGGAGTAACTCTAAAATATAGGTACAAGAGCAAAAAGGAACATCAAGCCATACATCAACTTCAACTTGGTAGGAAACGAACAACTTGGATAGTAATGCGAACCCTCGTTACGATCTGTAAAATATAAAAGGGTGAGTCGCGAAATTCAGTGAATGATAATACAGACCCTAGTTATGCTGGGACATGCATTGTAAAGCGGGCCAAAAATATGTATATAAGTAAACAATGAATAACTTAGTCAAAAGATCAGACAAGCTATAAAAATATGCCTCATATTCTCAAAGCACAATTATCGGTTAAGTCATGTGGGAGTATTTCATCATATTAGAAATTGTATCTCACAACAAAACATATCGTGCCTAAGGAATCACATATCACATCAGAATTGGATTCAAAATCAAAATATCGACTCACGACAGAACGTGTTATGTCAGAGGAATCAAATATCACATAGGGATCTCATATCAAAACCAAAATCACAATTAGAATGAGAACTAGAATTCATAATAACTCCCAACATAAATTTTCAGAAAACAGTTATAATAGAGGTATGAATTTAATTAAATATATATTTTCAAATAACTTATTGTAATTTCAAAATAAGCAAATGCCTATCCCAATTTTATCTTTTGAAAATCAGAAATCATATTGCATCAATCATTTCATAATCAGAATAAAATAAACATGCACAGAGAAATATTATGACTCACGATCCAAATCAAAACTAGAAACCTTAAGCACCATAAACGAGCTCACGGATTAAAGCGTGTTTCCAAGGGCAAATCTACAATCACAACATCATATAATTAAAATCAGAACTGAATTCCACCCACTTATGAGCTTTAATACCCAAAACAGACCAAACCCAATTTCGAAACCTTAACACACATCCCGAGGTTCCTTACTTCACTCCCGAGCCGAACTAAATCAAACCTATAACTAATCCTCATAGAAAAATCATAAACGTAGGCTATACCAGCCTTGGGTACCTTTGAACTAGCTTAGTCCTATTAGAAATTGTCAAAACCAACCCCGAAATCCATCGAATTGGCTGAACCCATTGAACTGGTCCATAAAACCCTTTGATTTCCATTCTAGAAAATTTTCCTATTTTTCTGTATTTTTCTTCTATTTTCCCCTCCTTTTCCAAGTTTTTCTTTTATTTTTCATCATTATTTGGGATATCAAAAATTATTATTTTCAGGGTTTTTCACCAGAAATTTACTCAAAATCATATAAATTTCATTTCCAATTTTTTCCTGATTTTTCCTAATTTCTCTTGAATTTTTCCTAGTTTTCTTCTATTTTTCCTCATTTTTCTAAAATTCTGATTTTTTTTTTTTTGTCTAGAACTTGGATCTTGGATTCGAGTCTCGCCCTGCCCCAACTTGGCTTCGCAAGGATGCACGCGCTACGAGCTGTGACCAACCTACTGGCCCTAAAAGCCATGCTTGGGCCAGCCTCGCAGGCCTAGCTTGCTACGTGTAACTGGGTTTATTCTTTTAGACCCAAAACACTAAAACGGAAACTAGAATTGAAAAAAAAAATAAATTAAACTTGTTTTACCTAGAATTTGTTCACAAAAATTTATAGTGAAGCTTAGAAATGGTAGGCGACCAAGATGGGCTTTTCAATTTGACTAAAAAGTAACTTAATTTGGAGGAATTAAGCTCAAAAGCCTCGACGGTGACAGATGGACGGCCGAACCATTCACTACAAAATTGATCGACTTAGGAAAGAGATTTCTAAAAATTTCTCGAAGGCTTTTGTCCCTTAGAGGCTACCGACCATTGATGTATAGGCCATTGCTCGAGATAGCTTGATAATGGCCACCGATTTTGGCATCCAAGTGTTTGCCAATCTATCGAGTATTCAATTTGGATCTAAAGTTGATTTGTCAATTAAGTCTCCCAGTTTTCATATTCCTTTACTGAGTCTCCCAAACTTTTCAATTTTTTTAATTACGGCCTTAATCTTTTTAATTTAACCCCAAACCTTTTTATTCATTCAATTTAATTCTTGGGCTATAAAATTAACTTATAGTTTTGTTTAAGAATCAGGGATATTACAATTAAGGAAATTCTTTTCAATTTTAATTAATTTTTAGTCGATTTGGTTTGAACTAAATTAGCCTAAATGGCCTGGATTGGTTTTGAACACTCTTATTAAAAGTGATCAATTACCTCTAGATGTTTTTAGTTTTAAAAAGACTGAAAAGCAAGATTAGATGCATAGAATGCCAACATAATTCAAACGATACAACAATGATTGATGAGACATGTTAAAAGAAAGAACTCAACAAAAAAAGAATTTCCTCCTAAATAATAAGATTGCTGGTTTGTTGAGTGCAACAAATTTCACTGCAAACCAAATCCCTCAATTAATAGTCAATGAATATTTGGGCTTATATATGCTGATTTGATTTTTTTTTTTTAATCAAAGGGACAAAAAAAGTTAGAATGATTCCAAGCAAATTTTGAATAAAACCAAACACAACCTAATTAGGTTAGACTTAAAAAGAACATTATTACTCAATTATTCCATTGCATAAAGTCTCATTTACCTCATAAGAAAAAGACATTCGCCTAGTAATCAGTGAACAAAGTCTCTGTGGTTAGGTAAAGTGGTTGAATAATAGGGTCTGTATAATAAACCTAATTCCCTCTAATGTGACCTCAAAGTCCAATGTTTGTTATAAAAAAATTTATAAATTAAGGTAAAAGTTTTCATCTATAATTAAAAAAACCCCGATTCTCTCTAATCCATGGAAAAATCCATAAATAAGTTTAGGAAAAACCCGCCACTTAATTCGAAGAGAATTAATCCAACCCAAAATTTTAACAAGTTTAGTTTGACTTTTATTGCTTTTATTAAATATGAGGTGTAAAAATCATTTTACTTTTTAAACTTTTTTCTCCATCTTGTTTATCGAATTAAACTAATACTGTTCTATTTACTCCTTTAAAACTAACGTAGTTAATCAACTATTATATTTAACTCTTGAATTCTCCAGTCTCAAAATTAAATTTTAAAATATTACTATTAAAATAGTTAATTGTTAAAATTTTAAAAATTTAAGTTGTTAGGTTATAATTGCTAATAAATATTATTAAACGTATTTAAATTTAGATATTAAATGAATATATGATTAAATTTTATAAAATTAATTTAAATTATTTGTATAACTTAACTAAATTTACCATTAGTCATTCATCAAGCCTCTTACAGAATTGCCATGTGCTGTTCGCCAACAAATTGCTAACAAACGGGGAGAACGATGCAGAATGTGTTTTGAATGAACATCGAATGGTTGGACGAGGAAGGTAAACAGATTGTAAATAATTATAATATTTACTCTTATTTTTTATTAAATTTCTTTTGATGGTGTTAGTTTTCAATGGTAAATGGTACATTGTATAATTCCTGGTAAATGGTTCATTGGATAATTCATGGTAAACTAGATAGGGAAAAAAATTTAAGAGGGTAAAATAATTTTTGTAATTTTTAATAATTTGACCGTAAAATTAAACGTAAGGAAGAAATATACAAACATGAATTTACCTAACCACCGTTTCATTACAACATATCAGAAAATCAATTTCAAAAACAAAAATTAGGGTTTGGTGTTGGGCCTGGGCCCGGATCGGGACCGGGCCTAAGGATTCACTCCTTGGCACCATCCGAATCCACCCGGGGTTCCCTCCTTTTCGCCTTTTTCGGCGCCACCCCCCGGCGGCGGCCACGATGTCGGCGTCGGCCGAACTTGATATTCGTCACACCCTTGAGCCTTCCTTTTTCGTTGAAGATCTCCTGCTCGGCCGGCACGATCACACACTCCGGCGGTGTGACGTTGTACCTCAACGTGTCGTAGCAGTAGGAATAGTACATGTGTTTCGTTCGGAACTGGAGCATGGCCTGGCGGCCTTCTGGCGTGATGGTGGCAAAGTCGGCAGTGTCGAGCTCGGCAATCTTGTCAGCACAGCCGGCGGCTTGTGCCGGCTGGGACGGGTCGATGGTGCAGCCCGCAAGGGCGAGTTCGGAGAATTCGGCTACGAACGGCTGGTAGCGGTACTGGACCTTGTACTTGCCGCCGTTGGTGGCCCAGCTGGAGGCGTCCCAGATGGTGGCGTACAAGGACATGGCTTTGAAGGGTAGTCCAGGCCCATGGCCTCGTTGCGGACCACCTCCCTTATTGGGGTTTCATCAATATAGAATCTAAATGAATAACAAAAGGAGAAAGATCATGTCATAATTGATAGTGAAAGAGAATCCACAATCTGTATCGACTCTTTCTGATTAAAAAATAATTTTCTTTGAAGAATATACCAATTTAACCAGAAAATTTGGCCAAGCATTTTCCAATTTCCTATTGAACAAAGATGAGTGCAAGAGGGGATGTTCAAAAAATCAAACTAAATTGTATAAATTGATTAAACTGTGATTTGATTAAGTTTATCAAAAGTTTTTTTCTATTATATAGTTTAGTTTGAAATTTAATCACTAAAAAAATCTTATAAACTAAACCTAACAATATACATACACAAAATTAAAAATCTATTTATATATAATATATATAATTATCTTTATTATTTAACTACATGCTTTTTTGTATTCTATTTTATATTTATGCTTCTTCTGGTACTTGATTATTTTTCTTTCTTAAAGAATAATTTTCATTATTATGTATTCACAATATATTATATTGTACAAATATATTTGTTATATAATATGTAGCTGCTACGGTTAATTGATAAATGATAAATTTGTTGAATTAAATAAGTTAAAAAAAATTTTAGATGTCTGATTTTTAGAAAAATTTTGTCAAAATTTTTCTAAATATAGTGATTTTAAAATGTTCTATTTTCATAAATCACATATCATAATTTAAAATTGAACGAAGTCACGAAAAGGTGTTTGATTTAATTTTTATAAATTATAAATGATAAAATATGATTTAATTTGAAATTAAGTTTCATATAAAATTAGACGGCATGGGCAGCGCCTCTCGTACACATATATTTGAAGGAAAATTTAAGTAAGATGATATGCTCACATGATTTTCTTGGAGGTCCAAACAATGGTGTAACGATGGACTTCTTTGGCCGGATCGAACCACAAGTTATAACGCTCTTCTCTGCCCGGTGGGTGCTTCCATTGCCGTACAAGTTCGTCTGAAACTTCCATGGTTTTCCATGGATGTTGCCCAGGAACTCGAAATCTAATTCATCGTGTGTTTTGTCGTATATATTTACATTCGATGTCTGCACCAATGTTATGAACATGAAATGATAATTAGTTATATGGGAAGTGATCATGTACAATTCTTTTGCTGCTAAGAAAAGAAAGGAAAGCAAATAATGCTTATCTGAAAGATGTAAATGGAAGTTAAAAAAATTACTTTGATCCCTCGTGAGAACATGCAAATTAAATGGGTCAAAAGTAATTTTCAATCTATAAAAATTTTATTACACACACCCGGTTTTTATGGCTAAAATGTTTCAAAAATTACAAATTATTCCCAAATTAAACGGGTAGTAATTTTCAGGAGTCATTTCGGGACAGTTTTTGAAAACGAAGGGTAAAAAAGTTGTGAGATGCACATGATCTATGATTTTATGGGTTCAAAAATTCAAGTCCAGATAGAATATTTATGAGTTGATTTAAATGTCATAAATTAGACTATAACCTTCTTCTCTTTCATCTTCTGGCCTAAACTTTTAATGTACAGAAAAAAAAAAGAGTTTTAAGATGTAGGTAAAAAAATCTGATAATTATGAACACGACGTCTTCTTCTCTCCCTCCCTCCTTCCCTCTCTCTCTCTCTCTCGCTATATAAATATATACCCGGTAAACTTACGTAAAATGCAACGACGATGCCAGCAGAATAGTTCCCTGGCAATTTGATCTTGGCACTGAAGAAACCGTAATCGTAGTAATCAGCAGAAATAAATCCAGACCCTGAAAAAGAAAGAGAGAAACAATCTCTTTGCATGTAAGGACAAAACTGCACAAATTAAATCATTTGTTTATTAATTGTCAATGCAAATAGATGTATAATAACGAGATAGACAGAAAGAGAAATGAAAAGATGGGCAAGCGCACCGTACCCGAGTATGTTTGAGGAGGAGAGAGACGGTGCGGTCGTCGGTCGACCGGAGGATGTTGAAATCGCTGAAGAGAGGGGCATAGCCCTGGCTGAAGGTGATTGTTGGGATGCCGAAGGCAGTTACGAGGTTGTTGTCACCGGTTGAGACAGTTGTGGTACTGATATCGTATGAAGTCTCCTCAGGTTTATCTTCCCAATCGCCAGAAGACACGTTGGCAGACTCTGACAAAAGTTGCTGAGTTGTCTCCTCTACTTGCTGACGTGTATGTTCCACTAGCTGACGTGTCTCCTCTGTCTGCTGAAGTTTCTCTTCCCCGCTAACCTGTTGCAACGGGATGGGCTGATCTGTCAGGTCTGTATTGATTTGGTCTCTATCGACGGGATTTATGAGATAAATTCTGAAGTTGGCAACGATGAGGAGAGAGAAGAAGAGTAGAGAGAGGGGTGGTATGGTTCTACAGAGAGAACGTAGAGGATGCATTCCCCCTTTTTTTCTCTTTTTGTTTTTACTATGTTTTTCTCTTTCTAAGGTTTCTCTCTCTTTTCCTCTTATTGCATCAAACAAGGGTCCGCATTATGGGGAGTCTGGTCATTGGCTGCCATTGTTTTGATTGCTGAATGACCAAATTACCCTCATGTTACTAAGAAACCACAACCTCGCCACTACATTGCATAGTTAAGTTGATTTTGTGGAACAATATAACAAGGAATATCACAAATTTTGTATTATTTTCATATAATAAACAAGCAAAAACACTCATATTGGAAACGTTATACATATATATATATGTATGTATTGATTTAAAATAGCATTCGTGTATGTATCTATATGTAATCTAACTGTAATAAGAAAAGTACATAATATTAATCCCTTCAAGGAGGGAGGAGGGGGGGGGGGGGGGGAGTAATGATTGATTTATTAATGGTTTTCTTTTAGACGAGTGGCTTAACAACATTACGTATTTGTTATTTATTCAGGGCTCTAAAACACTGATTACTACATTTGGTATTCGTAGGTAAAATATGACGGAAAAAAAAAAGAAAAATCTGACTGGTAAAAGTAAAACCTATGACAATGGAAGGGCATTTGGGTCCACTTAAAAGAGAACATTAAGCTTCTGAGGGAGATCAAACGTGTTTTGTTAATAGGAAAGGTTGCGAGGGTCTTTGTGGAAATTGGGGAGAGTTCATCTCCTGGTGACCGTGGAAGGGAAGAAAATCTTGTTTGCTTATTTGGCCGAAAGACGTTACCTGCTTCAATGGCCGAGAATCCTATGCCACGCTGGCACAACAGAGACCTCGTATTTTCCTTCATTTTCTTTTATTTGTTTTAACAGGGGACTTGTTTTCATGCACACGGCTTGCAGAGAAAGTCTGGCTGAGGGAATGACCATTGTGTTGGTGCAAAAGCCTCCTTGGGTGTGGGTTAAAATGTAATTATGGGTCGGGCTTGTTGGAGGAAGATTCATGATACGATCATGGGTTCTTAATTCTAGGTTTATCATGGTGTAATTTGAAGTGAAAAGGTTGGGTGGTCTGTAATTCTTGAGGTTGTGTGAATCCTGAGGAGGAGAGGAGTGAGGAAGAGCAGGGATTATAGTCATTCATGTAAGGGTATAGTACTCAAACTCGTATGATGCACGGGATGAAAAGAAAAAAGAGAAAAATACAAAAATATTATAAGTAACTATTTTATTAATTTAAATAATAATATAACATTGTGATATAACATATATGGTTTAGAAATGAAATAGGTACATAAAATTTGCAACATGTCTGTGTGTGGGAGAAGGGGAATTTATAATTAGAATAGAAAGGAATTAATTTATTTCTTTTCAATAATTA